ACCAGTGACAGTCCTAGTGGGTATTAATTCTTTTTTTTTCATTTTCCACAACAGTGATCCCACCCTTTTTTGGGACACACTGTACTGGGCTAACCCAGTTACTGTCAGAAACGGGATAAATGATCCCAGCATCCAGCCACTTAATAATTTCTTTTTTTACTACCTCCTTCATGATTGGGTTAAGCCTTCTTTGCTGCTCTCTAGAGCTGCTGGTTGGGTCAGTAAAAAGGATTTTATGTGTGCAATAGGAAGGGTTAATTCCTTTTATGTCTGCCAAAGACCAACCTATAGCCCTCTTAAATTTTTTTAAAACAGTCAGCAATTGTTCTTCCTCTAACACAGTGAGCAGATTGGACACTATAACAGGCAAGGTGTCTTTTTCCCCTAAGTAAGCATACCTAAGGTGATTAGGCAGAGGCTTGAGTTCTAACACAGGGGGCTCTTCAATTGAGGGTTTAGGAAGTTTTAACCCTCTCTTTGCTAATTCCAAAGACTCAAAAATTTTATTTTTCCAAACCACATCAGTTCTGGAATTCAACCACTTAACTGCTTCCTCAGAATCAGTTTGACTGATTTCTAGACCCTCAAAACCAGAATTTTGTAAAGAGTCTAACGAAGACTCATGCAAAAATTTATCTTTGACTACACAGTCAATGATATCTAGCCTAGAACACTCCTCTATGTCTCTTGGGTATTTCATGGCTTTTAAAATATTGAATTTTACTTGCTCACCATTCACATTCATGGCCAACTCACCCTCCTTTACATCTATGACAGCCCCACCAGTGGCTAAGAAAGCCCTTCCCAAAATAATTGGAACCTCTCGGTCTTCCTTATAGTCTAAGATTATAAAATCAGCAGGGAGAATAATTTATCTACCTTCACCAAAACATTCTCTACTTTCCCTTCCGGATAAACTAAGGACCTATCAGCCAACTGTAATGTGACAGTGGTGGGATTAGGCTCTCCTACTTTCAACTTTTTGTACACACTCAAAGGCATCAAATTGATACTAGCACCTAAATCACACAATGCTCTGCCTATGTAGTGGTTTCCTATGGTACATGGGATTGTAAAACTTCCTGGGTCTCCTAGTTTAGGAGGTATCTTACTAAGAAGATATTGACTGCTCTCTTGTGTAAGAGCAACAATCTCAAACTCTTCTAGCCTCATTTTTCTTGAAAGAATTTCTTTCATGAATTTCACATAAGTGCGCATTTGTTCCAATGCATCCACAAACGGAATGTTGACATGCAACTGTTTTAGGAGGTCTAAAAATTTCCTAAACTGATTATCTTGCTTCTGTTTTTGTAACCTTTGAGGAAAAGGTGGTGGGGGTCTGTTTTTGGCAACTGGTGTCTCAACATTTGACTTGGTTGCTTGACCCTTTGGCATAGACTTTTCCATGGAAATATTCCTTAAAGGCTCATCTATAGGGGTCTGATTGTCAGATTCAACCAGAATGGGCAAGGGGTCACTATGCGCAGCTCCTTGGGGGCTGTCATGAACAACAGAATTCTGAACAGGTTCAGAATTTGCATCTTTTTCTTTCTGCATGTTCTCCTCTTCTCTTTTTTTTTAATGTGGAAGGTCTAACCACAGCTTCTGGCTGATTTACAGATCTGCCATTTCTGAGCTCTATCATATTACATTCCTCTTTATTTCTCCTAGGCTCTTCAGTGTTACTAGGCAGGGTGCCAGGGGTCTGGTATTCATAGTGTTTGCTAAATGGCCTAGTTAGGATTCTATATTCCTCAAAGATGCAGGAATACTTTGTACAACGGCTTCCAAACTGTTTTGCTTAGTTTCATTCTTAACCAAATATTCCCTTAACAAAGCTTCTAAGGAGGAAGGTGGAGCAATAGGCATCTCACTAGGTTGAACAACAACTTGCTGCCTTGAAGTTTGTTGGTAGTTCTGGGTGGGAAAAGGCACTTTGGTTTGGCATTGGAGGGGCCAGCTTGCTGCCCTTGCCCTTGGAAATATTGAGGATGTTGGTTCTGCCTCCATCCTTGATTAAAATTAGTGGAAAAATTATTTTGGTTCCCCACATAATACACAGATTCTGGGTTGGATGGGCAGCTACCAAACAAGTGGGGCCCACCACAGCAAACATAAGTTTCACCTGTGTTCACTGCATTGACTTGAGGTGTAAATATTGGAACTTGAGGTTGAGACAATTTTGCCTCAATGGCTTGTCCTTGGGATCTCACCAAAGTGGACAGTGCATCAAACTTGGCTGAAAGGGTTGTTACCGGATTTATTTCATGTAAACCAGCCACTTTCCTAGACTGATTTCTCTCTTCAGGCCATTTGGCATAATTTTGAGTCATTTGTTCCAACAATTCATGGGCTTGGTTAAAGGACATGGACATAAACATGTCATTAGCAGCAGAATTTACTAAGGCTCTATTTTGAGTACTCAGGCCATTGTAAAAGGTCTGTAACACTGCCCAAGAGGGTAAACCATGGTTGAGGCATTGCTTAAGAAGGAGTTTGTACCTCTCCCACACATCCACTAAGGTCTCACCATCCTTCTGCATGAAGTTGGTGATATCACATCTAGTTTGCACTATCTTGTTGGATGGGAAAAATTTCATGATAAATTTTTCAGCCAGTGTGTGCCAATTAGTTATGGAGTTGGATGGAAGGGAGTTCAACCACTCTTTGGCTTTATCAGCCAGTGAGTGAGGGAAGAGCTTCAATCTCAGCACATCATCTGAGATGTTAGGATTCCTAAAAGTGTTGGCCACTTCTATAAAATTCCTAAGGTGTCTGTGTGGGTCTTCCATCAACAGACCATGGAACTGCCCCATGTTTTGGAGCATGGTGAACATCACTGGTTCTAGCTTAAAGGGTACTTCATTCACAGGTTGGGCAATGCTTGGATCTAATTCATCCAACACAGGTATGATGAAGTCCATCATGGACCTAACATTGTCATTTATGACAGGTGGGTTTTGTATCCTTGGTATTTCATCCTAATTCCCATTTCCATTTCCTACATTCTCCATCTCTTCAAAATTTGGGATTGGGATTTGCCTTTGGGCTCTTCTCCTAACTCTAAAGGTCCTCTCAAGTTCAGGGTCAAATGAATCTATGAACGGGTGTGGAGTTACACTCATGCACCCTTTTTTAACTAAAACAGGTAACCTAACTAGTTAAAACACCTAGATTACTAATCAGTTTTGTGTAAAAAAAAAATAAACAAACAAGAACCTGCAAACAGAAAAGTCCCAAAACAGTTTATAACCAAACAAATTTGTAACACAGAAACAATATATACCAACTAACAGAATGAAACTAAGAGTAAAAATAAAAAACTGAAAATCAAATAAATGAATACAATACCAGCTATGAAACAATAAGCTAAAAAATTAAATAACAGCAGAATGGCATAAAACATGTAAAAATTCAGATTATTAACAACACAAGAATCAAACTAATTCAGAACTGTAATCACACTGAGTTCCACAAATGTACGCTATTGGATCCCCGACAACAGCGCCAAAAACTTGTTGCCTTACTAACAGTTATGCAAGTAGCGCGCAAGTATACGCGACAACAAGTAATACAGGGCGTATATGAGACCCTTATATCGTTCCAACAAGGATCTTTAGCGTATGTACTTTGACAAAATTTGGTAATTGGGACGATCTGACTTTATGGGTTGATTTGTGGCAAGGATTAGGGATGGCTTGAGATAAGGCTTTGCAGAGATGGGCGCGCTCACTATGGGTGTGCTAGGGTTTCTTCTTTTTCTTTCTTTTGGCTTCCGTGTTTCCTGATTCTGTCTCTCCCTTCCTTCCTTTGTTTCTTTCTTTCCTTGCAGTTGTTGGGCTTTAGCTTTAGGTCCGGCCCAGTCCGTTCCTTCTTCCTTGCTCTCTTCTTTTCTTTGGGTCACTCTGATTTAAAACAGCAACTGGGCCTAAAAAAATGAAATACTTTAGCCCATTAGCATTTTAATCAACAAAAGATAAATTACAAACCTTTATCCGAACTTATTTTCCCACTAATTGTCCATTCATTAAGTTGTCAATTCAAGTTTTAAAAGAAAAATCCAAAAAGAAAAGAATACACGGTTTAATAGTAGTATTGTGTTTATTTGTTTTCCATTTTTTACCCATTTTTAGAAAAGGTTCAGTTTTAGCAATTACCAAATTTTGTCAAAGTACATACGCTAAAGATCTTTGTGGGAACGATATAAGGGTCTCATATACGCCCTGTATTACTTGTTGTCGCGTATACTTGCGCGCTACTTGCATAACTGTTAGCAAGACAACAAGTTTTTGGCGTCGTTGCCCCTAAGATAGATGACCCTCCCGAAACCCTAGCAGAGCTCACCATACGTAAGTTGATCTCTTTATGAAGAAATATTTTCTTCGTATTGTATTTTTGATACATTGGCTCCTATCCCTTCCACTTCTAACGGGATCCCCACTTCAAAGAACTCGCACAGTCATGTCTTGTGAAACTGACAATACTACATCACGCCTAATACCAACTTGTTGATTTCTTTATTCTTTACATGGAATGTAACTTTTGCGCGTACATCTATTCTCTCGTAATTATCTGATTCTCCGGCGAAAGTTTCGTTCTTTCATTTGATGAAAGCTCTTCCTTCTAATGTCACAAAAAAAATTGAAATTCAGATAGCAACACAGACTAATTAATGTTGGAAGAGAACCTAAGTTCAAATTTTATTAAATATATTTTTAAAATTAATCTCGTAATCAGCTCAAAGAATTAAAGTTTGTAACAATACCAGAGACTAACTTGCCTCAAAGAAATAATTAAAATAGGTATACCATAAAAAAAAATGTGTAAATATAAATTGGCTTTTAAAAAATAGTGTTATTTTGATCTCTCTACACAAATTTATCCCTGAAATTGTTAACTTCTTCATCCCTCTGGAAATTAATTTAAATAGGTACAAATATTCACGGATCAAAACAACATAAGTAAATTTTTTTAGGGATTAAATTATATATTTACTCCTTTAAATTATATTGCCACATAATTCAAACTTCTGCAGTTCAACATTCTAGAGACATAAAATTGCAAACCAACTTCCATGCTTGCGTAAACAACGGACATTGTTGTTGAACAATAATCAACAGAAATTTTTTATTTTATTTTTATAATTACGAATTTAAAGGAAAAAGGAAAAGGGCATTTAGACTGATTTTCATTTTAAGTAAAAAACTAGACATAGCTTCCCTATTCAAGACTCTGGCCCTGTTCTCTGTTTCTGTTCCTTGTAAAAACTTGCCTGCATGGTGATTGGCTCCTGAATTCTGAGTGACAGCAATTAGAAATCCCATGACCAGGATTATAACTGGAAGAAAGACACCTAATACTAGGAACAAACGATGACATTTTTCACAGGCTCCAAAAAAATGTACCATTTGAAGAGAGGAAAGCGAGACTAGAAAGTAAGATCTTTAGGGTCCTCGATAATCTTTGACATAGTTTGCAAGAATTCAGACAGATCAGCACCATAGATTACTCGATGATCTGCCGTAACATTGACCTGCATATTTGCATTTATTTTAAGTTCAACCTGAATAATTTGCTGTTTCTTAAACAAAATCTGAGCCATACTCCTATATATAAAGTCTGGACTTTACCTGCATCTGGCTCTTGATGCCAATTCGACCATCCTTGGTTGCCACAACGGTAGGCTCTGAAGCTCCCACAGCCATTATTGCTCCCTACAAAAATAAACCCATGGAGTAATTATGCTAGTGTTCGTCATTACAGCTTTTGTTTACATACATTTTTATCCACATGTAGAAAACCTAGTAGACTAGACAAAAACAAGTACACAACAAAAACAATTTTAAGACAAGAAAGAACACTCACAGTTCCAGGTGGCAGAATAGCATCAAAGCGATCAACACCAAACATTCCAAGGTTGGAAAGAGTGAAAGTACCTAAAAAAACAAAGGCAAACAGCAACAGTGAACCAATATCAGCCATCAACATTGATTTGACCCAATTGAATATCATATTGCAACCACAGCAAGGACAAAATAATATCTTGCTTCTTTTAGGAGATCAAAATAGCAGAAATAATAAAAGCAAATAGTCAGCAACTCATAACCCAAAGAAAACATCCCACCCACAGTACCACTGGTTCCAGTCCAAAAAATTGTAGAAAAACCACAAAATAATGATATGAAAGTCACAGCCAGAAGAAATTCAAAAGGTCATAAAAAATGATAGAAGATCTGTCGTTCGAGTGCAGAATAGTGATGCTGGATTGATGAAAGAAAAAGGTCCCAAATCTTTTAAATATGTCATTTGTACTCAAGCCAACTTAAACCTGAGATTTTGAGAGTGGTGAGGCAGAAAATTAAATGTTCCAGAAGGTTTTTAAATTTTAAGCCAGATTTTCTTTCTTGCACAAGTTACTCATCATACACTACTATTGAATGTCGATGGTCACAGCAGCACCAAACTTCAATTTCTCTCTTCATTGAACTTTGCCCATCCTACCCAATCAAACCCCCAGCATAACCAGATAATATAACCTAAGCCCCTGCTCACCCGAATTAACAACTCTTAGGTACGGGCTACACACATAACTTTCCAGCTCAATTTTCCAAACACAAAATCGCAATGTATCTTTGAAAGTTAAGGACGGAGAAAGATACTGAATGAATAATTTGAAGGTCCTCTCCTAATAAATTTGGCAGAGAGGAAGACAGAGTCAAGCAGAACCAAAAAGGATTGTAGTCCACTAGTGTATCAATCAATCAAATCTCTGGGACATGAAAATCCCAATTGAAGGAATGACTCGAAATAGAATAAAACTAAAAGCAAGTAATGGACTGATAAGAACCTTGAGGTGCATCATCCCAAAAGCTAGTTCAAAGGGTGAGAGTGCTCAAGACCTTATAAACTCCATATTAGTTGCTCATGCAACCAATGTGGGACTCCAAGTCTCATACCTTGCAAATGGGTCCTAACATTCCGCCACACTCTACAGCCCCAGCGCCGACGCAGGATGGCTATGAGCTAGTCTTTTACTAGCCCGGGTGAACACTGCAATGCCAGCGTCACCAACTGCACCGCTCAATTGCAATTGGGAGACATAGTGGAAGGCTCTGATACCATTTGATACGAACCTTGAGGTGCACCACCCCAAAAGCTAGCTCAAAGGTGGGAGTGTTCAAGGTCTTATCAACCCCATATTAGTTGCCCATACAACCAATGTGGGACTCCAAGTCTCATCATACCTTGCAAATGGGTCCTAACATTTTATGGAGATAAGGATGATGCTTGGGGATGGCTAATTCATCTGGAGCAATATTTTCAGACGAAGAAAAATCAAGAAGAGGAGAAGTTGATAGAGGCTGAAAAGGGACTTAGAGGTTTTGCATTCAGCAGGTACAAATGCTGGAGTTGGTTCAATCCTAATACAAGCTAGAGAAAATTTGAGAAAGATTTTATAGAAAAATATCTACCTGAAATTTGTTTGGTAGATGATGCAGAGTCAGAAACTCAAATGCCAGGATCTGACGGTCAACAATATCCCGAGTTGGAAAAACCAGAAATCACGGAAGTCGTGGAAGACAGAATGGGCAGATTAGAAGCTTTGAATGAGCAGAATAAAAGACAAAAATGAAGAGATATTGAAGCTCATAAGTGTTCTTGAGAATACTTTCCGCAAAAATCGATTTCACAGAAGACAAATGGACGAAAGACAAGGCAAAATGGTGGAATCTAGCCAGCGATCCACTAATAATTTTCAAATCGGTAATAATCATGTACTGAAAATGAAGAAAAGGGAGGAAGTCGGTCCACCTCCATTACCCACGCCACCGATCTTGAAGCTTTTTGAGATAGGGGAGCAGTGCGCCCATGAACAAAGAAGGGAGCATGAAGAACAATCGAAAGAGGAATTTACCGGGTCAAAGGCCTCTACAGAACATTCGAATTCAGAAACAGAGATGGAAAGAAAATTCATATTAGAGGAGAAGGAGACGCAGAGTAACTCTGTGTTGGAGAAATGGGAGATCATGAAAAGGGGGAAAGAAACTCATAAGGAAGAGAAGCTTGAAACAGAGACCATTGGAGAGAATGTTGACAAGGAGGTGATTAAAAACCAACAATGGTGGAGAAACGAAAGGGAAACAGTAGCAGTCAAGGTTGTCAAACTCGAGAGTCTATGCAAACTCGGAAGGGTGAACCAAAATTGTAAATCGCAGAATCGTAACACGGATCGTAGAATCGTAACACAGGATACAAATTATATTTATATATATTTATACGCATATAAAGTAATATAATAAGCAAATTTAATTTAACCAACCAGCAAAATAATGTCATACAATAGTTATAATCACATTATGTCTCAAACACATAAATTCATAGCACAAAAGATCAAAATCCAAAACAAAATATCAAGTATGTTTTACTTAAAATCCATATTCAGAGTTATGTTAGTTATATTAAATTTTTTAACTTAAAATTTAATATCAAATATGTTTTCTTTTAATATCACAATTGATTTTTAAATAAAAAATGAGTTATTAATATACATACACAATATTAAATTTAACTTTCATGTATTATAAGTGTAAAAATATTTTACAGTCAAATTTCAAATTTCATATAATTATTAATACAATTAAATAAAGTAATAAAACATTATTATTTTCACCATTTTTCTCTCACATTTAAATATTAAAAGCTTTGGGCCTTCATTCAAAATATTTTAAGGGGTTGGATAGAACCCATTGCTTTTTTTTCCAGCACCCATTGCTTTTGGATTTGGCCCATTAGGTCAATTAATTGACCTAGCTGTTTTTGTAATACCTATTCTGCCCCTCCTTTCTCTTTTCCCCTCTCACGCCGCTGATGCTAATTTCTAGTGCCTGCGTCGTCTTCTACAACTTAACCAGGAGGAAGCACCGCAACAACGATGGTTTCTGAGAACCACAGCTTCACAGAAGCTCGCATTTCCACAGAACCTCCACTTACCTGAGCCAGAGAAGGCAGTGGAGCAGGAGCCGGAGAAAACGTCGTCTCTCAATGAGCAAGAACGATGGCGGCTGAACCAGGTATTTAGGGTTTTTTGTGTTAAAAAAACCCATTTATACGATGGGTTTCTGGTCAAATTTTCGGGTCCATGGGTTTTTCTCCATTTCCTTGAAATCGTTAAACACGTAAGAGTTTACGAATTTGCCAAAAAACACGGCGTTTCTACCGATTGAGTGCCAAAAGCGAGTTTGCAGTGAAACAGGAACGTTGAGGGTGAACAAAAGCGTAAACTCGTCCATACTTGTTAATAGCCCCGCTTTAGCGCGCTTTAGCGGAGTTACGTTGCGGTGCAGCAGCCGACCGCCACAAACCGCGCCGCGACAGTCAGGCGAAGTGTAGTGCATGTAGAGGCCGCTATTGCGGTTGAATCGGCGCTATTGCGCCACTACAGTAGTTTCTACAAAAGTGTTCTCATCGTAGAAGGAAGAGATTTACAACTTAGATACAAGTGAAAGTGAAGATGAAGATTTGGATTTTCATGATTTCAATTATGATTAGTTTCTAAAGTTCTTTGATTTTGACATTTCACTTAAGTGACAGTTTGAATTTTGACTAATTTTGCCACTTTATTTTGTTTTGTTACATTATTTGAGACTTTAATTCCTTCAATTTGCTTATGATTTGAATTTTAATGTTTGAAATCATTTATGTTTGAAATTTGTTTTTTATGTCACATTTTCATATTTTAAGTTTTATATTTGTGGAGTACAATTAAGTGTATCACTTAGGTACTATAATACCACTAACTTAATAATTTAATTAATTACTTTTAATTAAATAATTATGCATGTATAAGTGGGTAGAATTAAGTAAGAGGCTAAAATTAATGAATTAAGGGCACTTTTGAGGTAAAAAGTACAATCAGTGAAAATTAAGAGGTAAAAATAAGGGTAGATAAAAGTACCAAAAATATAAAAGTAAAGTAAAAAATATCTCTAGAAAAATATTCTAGACCATTTGGTTAAGTTTGGTGATGAAAGGAGGTGAATAGATAGATGAGCTTATACCCAGTTAAAATAACTTAACAAGTTGAAGTGGCAAAACACAACAACACAACCCTCATTCTTCTTCTTCTTCTTCGTTGGTTTGAGAGAGTGAAGAGAGAAACCATTGGAGAAAAATCAAGAAGCCCTAACTCCCTCATCTCCCAAGCAAATCCATCCATTCCAAAGGCACAGTTGCTTGAAATTTCATCCTCTACAAAACCAATAGCTTGGTTCTTGTTGGGGGTCATTGTATTGGGAGATATCTCACCCTTTTCATTTCGAAAATTTGATAGATTTGAGGTGTTGTGGGTGCTTTGGAGCTTGAAGAGTCATTCTCCAAGTATTCTAAGGTGATTTGGGGTGAGTTTTCACCATCCAACTCTTGTTTTCCTTGAATTTTCATGAATCTAGGTTTTGGATGAATAGTGACCACGAAATTCATCTATGTTGGGATGGATTTTGATGTGTTGGTATGTTGTTTTACGTGTGGTTATGAGCAAGGTGACCCTTGGGTAAAGGAAAAGCCATTGGAGAAGCCATTGGAGCAAAAACCTAGTTTTGGGTTTCAAGGGTAAGTTGAGTTAATGTTAAAATTATGAGTAATGTAGAATAGTTGAGATGTTTGTCTAGTCCTGGACTTAGTATTTATGTGTGGATTGAGTTGATGAACACATCTCTTGCCTTGACTATAGGTTGTCTTGGTGTTGATTGGAGATTGTGTGGTTTTGAGGAAAGGAAAGCTTTAAGGAAAGTGCAAGAGCAAGGTAAACCTTTGGACCTTGGGGTTGATCCCCTTGATTGTTCTACCATACTCCGTTGAGGAGGAATGGTTTATGAGGTGAGATATGTGATAATGATAGTAATTGTATATTCATGCATTGATAAATGTTATGAT